TAATCTTCTTTAACTTCTGACGAAGGTGAAACACTGAGCTAAGTCAGTCTACCCAATGTACACGTGGGTGTGGAAATGAAGCTGACCCAACAAAAACAACTTAAAAGAGCAGAATTCAGCTTTTTTTGGCTCCCCTTCTGCCTTCACTTTTCCGTATTGGCCATTCAGCATTTATAAGTGCTGTGTTTGCTCTAGGGGGATCCTAGATTAGGTGCCTCAGCAGAGTGGCTTCTCCATCTTCTCCCCTCCCTATCACTCCTCACCCTCCATCTTTTCCCTCTGTTCTCATTGTGACATGTACCTCTTCAGAGTTGGCAACAGGAGATGGGCAAGGAAAGCAAGCCCTGTTTAGCAGATGTTTCTTGAAGGGTTTCCTGACCACCGTCTCTCTTCCTCCTACAGAAAAGAAGGACACTGTCCTGCGCCAGGTGCGCTTGGACCCTTGCGACCTGCAGCCCATCTTCGACGACATGCTGCACATCCTCAACCCTGAGGAGCTCCACGTGATTGAGGAGATCCCACAGGCTGAAGATAAGCTGGACAGGCTATTTGAGATCGCTGGAGTCAAGAGCCAGGAAGCCAGCCAGACCCTCCTGGACTCTGTCTATAGCCACCTTCCTGACTTACTGTAGACTTGCTGGGTCACCATGCGCTCTCCAAATATCTGCTAGAGCTAGCTTGGCACTCGTTAAGATGACTGACAATACACAGGCAAGTTGTGTTGTAGAATATATGGCCAGTATTTTCATTGAGGTGTCCTTGGTTTTTGGAGGGGGGGCAGTTTGCCAGCGTTGCACCCCTCCATTGTAACTCTATCGCTCAGTCCAAGTCTTTGCACCCTCTGCCCCCTTCCCGAGCCTCTCTTCTCCCTGTTCTTATTCCAATCAGATCAGTTGATGCACTTTAAAAAAAGAATAATAATATTGCAGTTAACAAACTTAAAAGACCATGAATCTGGTGTAATTTAACACATTGAATCGGGGATTGCTCTATAAACCGCGTCTTCTGTCAAAGCTGTTGCTCGGAGTGACTGTCTCCCACCACCTCCCTTTGCCTTGGAGCGGTAAATGGCAAACTCACACACAAAAAAAACCCAGTCGTGGCTGGTTACTGCCTCTTAACACAGCTAAGCTTCCCACCCGAGCTGACTTTTTTTAATGTACTATTGTATCGCTCGTATCCATTGCTGAGGTTTTACTAGCACGGTTATTTATTGTATGGTTTTCACCCGGACAGTGCATCGCGCCCCTATAAGCTAAAGCAGAAGCGCTTTAACCACAAAAAAAAAGGGTCAGCCCCACCAGTCTTCGAGGCGATGAAAAGGTCTTTGACTTCAGGTGAATGTAAGGAGTTGTCTTGCCTTGCTGCTTGCGGGGATGGAAGGGCCCTGAAGGGAGCCGGTGCTGGACGTGGGGAGGCAAAGGTGGCTGCCAGTGTTCCTGCTGTCCTCGTGGTGTAAGACTTAAACCAAGCTATGCTTTTACACTCATGTCTCTTGTTTTTTATACAGACATGGCCGATAGGTTCTCCAAAGACCTTACCCGGTCTTAATAGTCTCTTCAAATCACACTTCACTTTTTATTAAAAGAAAAGAGATTGAGGGGTGGGAGGGGGGGAAGCTGCATCGTAAGAAGTCTGTCTGATTATATTTGCAACTCTTATGCTCCCGTAACAAACAGTCTGTACTACGCTCAGTTTGAAGAAATCGTGGTATGAGGGTGGCATGTGCTGCCCCGTGGGAAGGGGTGGGAGTGGGGGGAAGAGGGGAATGAATTGAAAAATTGCCTTCCAGTGTACTAATTTATTAATAAATACTAGGTGTTTGTTACTTGACATGATTCCGCGTTAACCTCCTTAACACCTGCCTCTGCTTAGGGACACCAGGGTTGGAGCAGGGGCTGCTCAGGGTGTCCATGGAGGAGTGAAGAGGGAGATTTTGGGGTTTGAAGGTGGTGAGGGGGTTGTCTTCTGTAATTTTGAGGCCAAATGTGGCTGCTTTCTGTTGACAACACTGCCTTGAGTCCTCATGGCCTACACTGGAAATGCTTCCCCCCGGAGCAGGTCCCTGCACTGAGCCGGGGTGGGAGACATGTGTTAATCCCCATAGTGGTGAGCAGATCAGATGGCTGATGGGGCTTCCAGGGATGTTTTTTGCAAGCTCTCAAAGGCTTTGCAGGCATCTGGGCGGGGGGGGGTGGGGGGGCTGAAATATTAATTTTCCAGGATGCAGCTGCTGTGCTGAGTCACTCCTAAGTGGAGGTCTTGCAGTCACAGCATTTCTGTTGTCCTGTTACATTACCAGTGTCCTTAACATCTCCACTTCCAAATAACTCATCCCTTGTTATTCTGTCTATGAATGGAAATGTTAATGGGACAAATGCTTCTGGTTTTATAATACTGTCATTTTGTATACTTAGCTCCAGAGTGGTTTCTGTTAACTCGGGTAGTGTGTTTTCCTTCTGTCTGGCATTGAAAATTGCTGTTACAGTACTATACATAGGTACAGGATTAAAACTTTTCAACACATGGACATTTCAAATACAGTGCAAAACAGCAAGAGCCTTTACTGGGAGCACTGGGGTGGGCTTTTTCCTTGCTGGCAATGCCAGCTTGCAGCCACTGAAGAGCTCAATGCTTCAACATGCCTTCAAAGCATCATGAAATCATGAGCATGGCTCATGTTCCTGGCATACACCAGGTTGCTAAAAGCAGTATTGAGGTGCAGCCCAGCACCACTCTGTTGGCAAGTGGATTTTTTACATCCCCGTACTGGGAGTGGTGGTGGTTGCTGTTGATGTGCCCAGGCAAGAACTGACAAGGGGAAGGAAGGTGTGTGATCATAGGTTCAATCAATAGCTTAAGGCAAGCGCAAATCACTGGCTTTAAATTATCCTTAGCAGGCTCTTGGAGTGCGTCCAGCTGGGAAACTGGGGCTTTGTCCTTTATAATGATGGTTCAAGTTCTTCCAGGTACAGACATGGGTTGCAGGCACCAGAGCCATTGTGCCACCTTCCCAGGGCACCACTGCCTTTATCCCGCAGCTCTGCTTCCCATCCTGCCAGCTGCTTGTGCTTTCTGATGGGCTTTGAAGGTAAAGTGAAACAAAATGGTCCTGAGAAGAGGATTTAGCAACCAGCAGAAGAAATCATAGAGTCACAGAACGGCTTGGGTTGGAAGGGACCTTCAAAGGTCATCTAGTCCATCCCCCTGCAATGAGCAGGGTCATCTTCAGCTAGATCAGGTTGCCCTTCAGAACCACATCCAGCCTGTCTCAGAGTGTCTCCAGCATGGCGCATACACCACCTCTCCAGGCAACCTGTGTCAATGCTTCACCACCCTCATTGTAAAAAATTTCTCCCTTGCATCCAGCCTCAATCTCCCTTCTTTTAGGATAAAACCATCACCCCTCATCCTATCACAGCAGGCCTGGATTAAAAAGTCTCTCCCCATCTTTCTTGTAAGCCCCTTTTTAATACTGAAAGGCCACAACAAGGTCTCCCTGGAGTCTTCTCCATGTTGAACAACTTCAACCCTCTCAGCCTTTCCTCATAGGAGAGGTGTTCCATCCCTCTGATCATTTCTGTGGCCCTTCTCTGGACCCTCTCCAACAGGTCCATGTCTTTCCTGTACTGTGGACTCCAGAGCTGGACACAGTGTTCCAGGGAGGGTCTCACTGGAGCAGAGCAGAGGGACCGAATCACCTCTGTTGACCTGCTGGCCCTGCAGCAGGCATGATGTGGAGGCCAGGAGATTCTGAGGAGGCACAAGGAGGCATTGGTGGGTCTCTGGGCTGTGTTCAACTCATCTTGGTGGCAGGCTGTGGGACAGGCCAAAATTTGGCTCCATCCATGCAGTGCACACTTCCAGCATTGCTCCATCCTGTGCTTGCACCTGGATGTTGGTCTTGTCCCTGGCTCTATCATTTCCCATTTCCAAGCTGTGCCCTCTAAGCAGCCCTTTGCTGTTTGCATATGTGTACAATATGTATATTTGCTAGATACAGGTATTGTATATGAATATATGCTACATTTTTCTGTATTATATATTTTAAAATTATTTTTATGTATATATGTGTATAAATATATATATGTATTTTATGCATCTGGGGGTGTGATGGGAAATGCTTGAGAGCAGCTGAGCCACACTGAGCCCCACATACAGGTGAGGTATTTCCTGGCAGTGTGGGAGGTGTGAGGAGGCAGGAGCCCCATGCCCCCACCCTTCCTCTGAGCCAGCTCTAGGGCCTTGAGAAAACAAACGAGGCAGGTAGGACCGATGGGTTTGTGACCTGGAGGCATAACCCTACAGAGGCAGAGACGGTCCTTGTTCTCTTGCGTGGCTTACTTGAGGCATCGTGGGCAATACACAAACCTTGCACACCACAGCACTGGTGCAGCTGTACGGGTGAGGTTTTGGGCTAAATGGGTTTAGCAAGGTTAAGCTGTGACTATAAAGACGTTTATACATGTATCTAACATGCAAAGATGTGCATTTTATGTAAAGTATGCAGTAAAAATGTACTCCAGTGTGCACTGTAGGCGAGAGGTGGGGTGTGGAATGTGTGGCTTTGCTTTGCCCGTTGTCTGGCCGTGCTTGCTCAGTTATGCTTGCTCCTTATGTGCTGCTCTTCACCAAGGGAGAGCCGGTATGAGGGGGAATTTAGGTGCTGGGGTCACAATCCTGGTTGGGACAGCCTGTAAAACAACCGGGGGGCCAGAAAGCAAAACAAGAGTGCAGCCATGCTCCCCTCTTCTGTCTGCTGCAGGTATCTTGTGTCAGAGCAGAGACTGACATTTCTCCTGCAGGTCACACAAGAAAACATCAGCTGCTCTAGTCCTGCTTGCTGTGGGCATGGATATGAAGTGTGACGATCACATCTCCCACCAAGATCACAGTGTTTGCTGGGACAAAACTCCCTGGAGATGCCTCCAGCATGGCCTAGCATACTCAGGACTGGATGGCTCTGCTTTTCCAGGGTCTTTCAATTCCTCCAGTGCAAATGAGGTTTGGGATTATTTTTCTTATTTTTCTTTATTTGCTCCACCAATTGCAGGTGCTCCGTGCAGAAGAACAAGGCACCTGGAGCACTTTCCTTCTACACCAGCCTAATTGGAGTTTATCCTAATTGTGAATTAATTGCAACCCTCCAGGCATGGCTGCTCACATCCTTCCTTGGAAAAGCACCCAAGTGTTCTGGGAGGTTATTCACCCCTCTTACATCAGCTATTGTCTGGCTCAATTGCAACACAGCCTGTGCGTAGGAGGAATCGTCTGTGCAGCCTTTGTGTGAATAACCTGCAGGAAGATGGGTAGCGATGCTGCCCAAGGATGCCCGCAGGCTCGGCGTGGGATGCGGAGTTACCCAGGGGGTCTGTGCCCATCCCGGGGCTGCGGGGCCAAGCTGTGCAGGGTGTGGGAGAGAGGCAGGTTGGCACAGGGATGGCTCACACCAAAATCCTCCTCTGGCATTGCTGGGCCATGAGTTTCAAGTCATGAAAGCTTTGTGGCTGCTTTTTCTTCTCATGGATTTTGCTCCTGAGAGTACTGGGTTGGGGAAGTTTCCAGGGCAATTGCTAGGAAATAGGAAGCTGGAGAAGAAATAAGAGGAGCCATCGTTTACGTATTCGAGCATATGCCTAGTGGTGGCATCTCCCAAGGTGTTTATCAAACCAGCCTTTAGACATGGCTGCTCCTTCACCATGTGAGCATTTACAAGGTTTGCAGTTTCCTTTGGACTGTTGTAATTTAATTTTCCCTTCCAGCTTTCCTCTCTTTCTCAAGCATTTTCTTAACAAATATAATGCAAAAAAAAGGGGGAAAAAAAACCAAACAAAAATGACACCAAAAGCATCCAAATAACATTGGATCAGCTGTTGATGAAGATGCTGTCCAGCAGATCAGGCAGCGACTTTGTGGGATTTCCTGAACTTGCACCAACCTTCCTTCAGGTTTACGTGCTATTACAGCCAGGCCAGGTTCTATTCTCTGTTCTTCAGGTGCCCAAATTGCCCTTGGAGTAGCTGGCTTCAAGATCACTTAAGTGATGTTGGACATGTTCCTCTCTGATTTGCTTTGGCTACATGATTAAACTGTAGCAATGATCAAATTAAAAATCAGAAGCTAGTCTTATGATAGAATCCTTTTCCTGTAAAAAAATAAGTTTATAAAATGTTGTGATCCTGTGAATTTTAGTTTTTCTTTTTATTCTTTAAATATTTGTTTAATATTTCTTTATTCCTTTTTTTGTGTTTCCCTGATGCTGAGGAAGGGAATCTCATGTTTCGGGCATGACTGAAGCCTTGCTACCCCCCACCCCCAATAAACTCACAGGTGGTAATTGACAGACATGAATGCACAAATTATGGCACTTTCCCACTGGGCTTTTTTTCTCTGAATGCACGTGAGGCCCTAACTTGGGGACCTTACCCTGAGAATAGCTGAAGGTGGAGGAGATTAATGGTATTTAGTTCTGACATTGGGAATAAGCTACCCTGCAGAGGCAGGAGCTCCCTGATGGTGGTGAACATCTCCTTCTCAAAGCAGAGACCTGTCACCGGTAGGGTCTGCCGGGGACTCCTGTTGGGCACAATACCGTTCAATGCCTTCATAAGTGACCTGGAAGATGGGATCAGGTGTACCCTGGTGAAGTTTTGAAGTGGACACTTCGTAAGGGAGAGCCACCCTGCAGGGTGACATGTGTAGGCCTGGGCTAACAAGAACCTTGTGAAGTTCAACAAGGACAAATGTAAGGTCTTTCACCTGGGTAAACCCAATCCAGGAGTGCAGCACAGGCAGGGATCAACCATTCTGGGGAGTAGTTCCAAAGAGAAGGACCTGGGGGTCATGGTGGACATGAGCTCAATGAGTGAACAGTGTGCTGCTGTGGCAAAGGAAGCCAACAACTTACATCAACAGGGCGTCACCAGCAGACATGTAGATGTTATTAGATAAGAGCAAGATAGCGTTTTATAAGAGCAAGATAGTGTTTTATAAGAGCAAGTAGTGATAAGACAAGGGGGAATTACTTTAAACTGAAAGAGGGTAGATTTAGATTAGATATTAGGAAGAAGTTCTTTACCGTGAGGCTGATGAGGCCCTGGCACAGGCTGCCCAGAGAAGCTGTGGCTGCCCCATCCCTAGCAGTGTTCAAGGCCAGGTTGGACAGGGCTTGGTCTAGCAGCAGGGGGTTGGAACTGGATGATCTTTAAAGTCCCTTCCAACCCAAACCTTTCCATGATGCTATGATTTCTGTCAGCCATACTTCTTGCACTGAACCCTGAGCCCTTGTAACTTTGCAGTGCTCAGCAGAGCTGAGCCGAGACACCCTTGTATGTCTGTGTTCCTGCAACCCCATTTCTGCTCCAAGCCCCACAAGGACCCCTTTGCTGCAATGCCAGCTTCACCTGCCTGTTGTCTTTCCACTGTGTATGAGATTAGCTTTAATTTAATATGAAGGAAATGAGTTACTCTGCAAGCATGCTAATCTCAAAGTACACTTCTGGACACAGGACCTTTTGCCAGGACCTGACAGGCTCAGTGGGAAACCAGGACTGTGGCAAGACATAAATCGGCCTGACTGTTTCTGGCAGCTCAGACCTTTCCAGACTACTACTTGGCAAAGATTAGATTGATTAAATCATTGATCTTCCAGAGTGCTTCAATAGGCTGGTGATTGCTTTTTGTGGAAACTGCTTCTTCTCTTACACTGATAATACTAATTTATTGTAAGAATAGCTAGTTGTCTTACAGCTCTCCCAGTGAGCGGAGCTCCAGGTACCTTTAGGATGACCATGAGCCAACACTGTGCCTTTGTGGCCAAGAAGGCCAATGGCATCCTGGGGTGTATTAGAAGGGGGGTGGTTAGTAGGTCGAGAGAGGTCCTCCTTCCCCTCTACTCTGCCCTGGTGAGACCCCATCTGGAATATTGTGTCCAGTTCTGGGCCCCTCAGTTCAAGAAGGACAGGGAGCTGCTGGAGAGAGTCCAGCAAAGGGCAACAAAGATGATTAAGGGAGTGGAGCATCTCCCTTATGAGGAAAGACTGAGGGAGCTGGGTCTCTATAGTTTGGAGAAGAGGAGACTGAGGGGTGACCTTATAAGTGTATATAAATATATAAAGGGGGAGTGTCATGAGGATGGAGCCAGGCTCTACTCAGTGGCAAACAATGATAGGACAAGGGGTAATGGGTACAAACTGGAACACAAGAGGTTCCACTTAAACTTGAGAAGAAACTTCTTCTCAGTGAGGGTGACGGAACACTGGAACAGGCTGCCCAGGGAGGTTGTGGAGTCTCCTTCCCTGGAGACATTCAAAACCTGCCTGGACACATTCCTGTGTAACATTATCTAGGTGTTCCTGCTCCGGCAGGGGGATTGGACTAGATGATCTTTCGAGGTCCCTTCCAATCTCTAGCATACTGTGATACTGTGATACCTTGCAGCTGAGGCTGGCAATGTTACTGTCATTTTACTGGTAAGGAAACTTGAAGGATGGAGATAAAACTCCCCATCAGAAAAAAAATCAGGGTGAAATTCAGAGAAACCCCATCAGACCCCACACCATCCTCTCTTGAGGGGTGTATGGGTAAGACTTGGGGTTTGAAGTGCTGAGCCCCAGCAAGCAGAGAGGGTTGTGGGCAGTGCTCCCAAACCATGTTTTCCATTAATTAATTTGCCCACTAAACTTTTTTTTAGCTGTAAAATAATCTATGGCCATGGTGGCTCCCTGGTTAGACCATTTGCCTTCTTCTTGTTCAGATTCACAGTGTGCAGCTGGGAGGAAGGTCCAGGTCCAGAGCTAAGACAATAGGCTTATTCTTTGTCCTCTGCCCTCTGCCCTATTTCCCTATCCTCTCCTGCCTTATGCCCTAGGCTGTCCTGCCTCCCCAGAGCAGGGATATTCCTTCTCTCTGCCCTGTGCAAGGGCATGGCATGGCAGTGACACCCATACAGAGATCGATGGAAGACGGACATGAAATGGATGAGCAGAGCTGTTGGCATTGCAAGCAAAACAATTCCATGGGGCCAGGGGATTCACAACTGGAAATCACAGCTGCCCATTGTGACAACCTTCTCATCCGGTTTCCTCAAGGGAGAGAAGGGAATTAAACCTGTTGAAATGCAACATAGCAAATAAAGATTCCAGTTGCATAACAGCAACCAGCCCTTCCCCGTACCCCTGCTGTTCCCATCTTTTAATGCTTCCTTTCTTAAAATGACATTTAATCCTGAAAACAGATTTCCTTTTTTCATTTCTCACCTCTGCTTTTTTCTTCTTTTTCTGCTCTAATGGCTGTGAACTTTCCTCTAATTAAATGTACCCATGGACAGACAATCCTGTTTTGCTCTAGTGTCAATATGGTCCTTTAGCTAAATTAAATGTTTTCCCTGCCTGATGTTTGTCCTTCTTTGTCTGCCCCTTGGCCCCCTTCTGGAGGTATTTGAGGACCATGATCCCACTGCCTCCTTTCCTTCTTCTGGGCTCAGAAAGTCAGGTTTTCTCAGGGTTTTGACTCATGTGGTCATTTAGAGAGCTCCCATCCTCAAACATCTGCTCTCCCTCTCTGGATGTTTTCACCCCTGTAGCAGTGGTGGTGAGAAGGAGATAAGAACTGACTCCTGAGAAATGCCACTCACCACGAGTCTCCACCTGGACATCGAGCTGTTGACCATAACTCTTTGAGTGCAGCCATCCAGCCAATTCCTTATCCACCAGGTAGTCCATCCATCAAGTCCACATCTCTCCAGTTTAGAGATGATGTTGTGTGGGACAGTGTCAAAGGCTTTGAGCAACTCCAGGTACATGACACTGGTTGCTTTTCCCTTATCCACCAACAGTGTAACTCCATTGTGGCTCTTTGCAAAGTAACCAGGGTTCCCCAGTGGTGGGGGCCCTCCCATGGGTGTCCACAATGGGAAGGGAGAGGGGACTAGCCAGGACCTGTGTCAAATAGCAGTCTTGTCATTTATTCCTAATATCCTTGAGATGGTGAGTAAACTCGACAGCACCAGGGCCAGCTAGTACATTAGCTCTCATCCTCTTACACAGGGTGGCCCTGTCCAAATATGCCCCAAGGACAAGGTGATGTCCCTTATCCCCCACACTCCAAGCAACACACAGGAGGCCTTTGAGAGCTGTCCTCAGCCAAAACCGTGCCAGAGACAGACGCTCCTCAGACCGGTGGCATTTGCAGCCAGGCTCTGGTGATGCTGTTTGCGAGCTTTGCATTGTTGAAATCAGGAACCTTCATCAGGGCCCTGCGTTTGCTTACATTTTCACTTCACTGCCATCAACCGCCTTGTCTGGACTAATGCAGCCTTGCTCTCCTCAAACTTTCTGTGACTGTGATAAATCATTTATGTAACAGGCTGAGTCAGGTTTTGTTCCTGGGATAAAGTGCACAGGCTTCTGCAAAACACACCTTGGTCTTGCTGTTAGCCTGGAAATAGGGCCACTAATGTATGAAACACGGAACAGCCCTGGCTCTTCTCCCTCCTGTGGTGACACAAACTGGGGATGACACTCAGGAACTGCAGCTACTCGTTTGTGCCATGGGCGTGTGGGATGAAGTGCCAAGGAGATGAATCTTCAAGGTTTTCTGGATCTGGGAGGGAAATAAAAGCTGGTCCAGCAGGGAACAAATCCTGGAGGATCAGTGGCAGGCTTATCCTTTAACTCACAGGCTATGGAAGAAGCTCAGTGTGTCTCCAGGATACCTGAGCAATTCCATGGGGGGAGGAGGGGAGGAAGCTGTTTTGGTGGGAAAAATGAAAGTAACCTGGGTATTCTGTACCCCACACTGAATGTCCCCCTACTCTTTACTGTCCTTTCCCACTCCCCTTTGTTCTGTTCCACCTTCCCCTGCTCTGTGCCCTACAGTGGCACCCCTGGATCACAGTGTGGAAGGATCTGGGGTGGGAAGGGCTTGGGGTAGGGAAAGGCTGTTTTCCTGCATCCACCCCAAGGTGATGCACTCTTGTACATGATCCCCATGTATGAAAAATGCCAACAGTATTTTGCTGCCATGGATGACCACATGGCTCTCAGTCTGAGCCTGACATCCCAAACTACAGGTGCTCTGCACCATTCAACATGCTTCTGGAGGAACCAATCTAGGATGGCATGCCAGATTTTCAATGAATACACCTGTATCTGTGGCACAGCATCTGGCTTGCATCCTAAAATAGCATTCATCATCACTGACTTTGACACACTTGCCCCAGTGTGCAAGAGCCACAGGGGACTAAACCCTCCAGTTTGGGTTTTGGGTATTCAAAGGGGTGAAAATGCTTCTTCTGAAGTCAGAAAACCCTTCCTTTGGGGTTAACACCCCTAATGCTGCCCTGGCCCTTGGTGCTGCCCTGGGGCTGGGGCTGCGTCCACAGGCTGGGTCCCAGTTATCTTCTCAACTGTCACCCTCTGGAGTCTCAGTATGAAGCCCATAGGACTGTGTTCCAAACTCCGTGTTTCCCAACCAGACTGATGAGTTAGTCACCATAAAAATCCAGCTCTGCCATCATACAGTGACCTGTGCTCAGTGGAGATGGACGGACCTGGGGAAGCTGCATGATGGACAAGTCACCCAGAATAATGCCTCATTTGTCTGGAGTCCCAGCAGCTCCTGGAAAAGGAGCTGCACCATTAACACTGCAGCACCAACACCTGCTGATGCAGCACTGCTAATTTTAGAGCCGAGGCTCAAGCAAGCGTGGCACAATTAGCATTTCTTAGATGAGCAAGAGTCAAGACTGCTGCTCAGCTGGCCTCAGGCCTCCTCCAGGATAAAGGGATGCCTACTGGGAGCTGTCCTGCCATGGTGGCAGTCCTACAGCAAGCAGCATGGATTTACACCCTGCTGCTCTGAGGGTGATGTTTGGGCTCAGAGTTCAGCCTTTAATATTGGAGCAATAAATTGCACGTGGTTTTCAAAGGAAGGCCAGGTGCTCCCCCTGGTAGCTCCAGTAGGAGGGAGGGAAGTGGTGAAAGCAGGACATCAATGCTTGCAGCGCCTGTCCTCTGTGTCATTCGCGTTGTTCCCCGAGGCTCTGTTAAAAAGAACAAGGTGTAAATGGAGTGCTGAAATGCCAGTGTCTCACCATCACCCATCTCTACATGTGCAGCCATTTCCTCACAGAGTGATTCGGAGAAATCTCCAGGAACTCGCCAACAAAGTTTACGTTGACAAGCAGGTATTCTTCATTGTGGTGCCGGGAGACACGGGGGATAGCTCCTCCTAGCTGTCTCGTCCGAGCATCAACCAGGCTGTGATTATATTGTCCTCAAACATACATATTCATTAGATTACAAACATACTCATTGAGTTACTTATGCATTACATCATACTTGTAGAATTCCTCCTGCATGCGCACTAAAATGTGGTCGTGGGCTTTGGGACCACTGGTGGTTATTTCTTCATCATCTTCCTCTTCATCACTTTGTTTTAGGATTGTTGTCATGTCAGTAACCACCAGGCTGGTTCTGGCCAGTTCTTGTGCAATGGTTATCTTAGCCATTTCCTTATCTCTATAGTTGCTAACAAAGCCTAATGTCCTTGAAGTTACTTATTTGCAAGCCTATTCTTCAATCAACCCCATTCTTCAATCAACCCTATTCTTCAGAGGATACATTTTTCTGAAGATAAAAAGAAATGCTGATTTTGACCAGAGAAAGCAGCTATTTTCCTGTGCTTGCTGTTTTTTGGAGCATTTTGCAAGCTGGCATTGCCACATTCAAACTCTATTTAACGTAATCCTCACTGCAGTGACCAACAGACCTGCCCATCCTTGGGCTCTGAGAAACCTCCATGACCAGCACCACTAAAGCACCTGAAATTTCTCATTAAAGGCCTGGGACAGCCCCTGTGCCCCTATACATGATGCCAAACACTGCTGCGAATGATGCCAGTCTGGACACCAGTTCCAGGCTGGAGTTTAGGGAGGTTAAGTGGCCTTTTTTAGTAGGTCCTATTGAGATAGGACAAGGAGTAATGGTTTCAAACTAAAAAAGGGTAGACTAGATATAAGGAAGAATTTGGTTTATGATGAGGGTGGTGAAACACTGGCACAGGTTGCCCAGAGAGGTAGTAGATGCCCCATCCCTGGAAACATTCAAGTTCAGGTTGAGCAAGGATCTGAGCAACCTTGATCTAGTTGAAGATGGCCATGGCATGGGGGGTGGATTAGATGACCTTTAAAGGTCCTTTCGAACCCAAACTATTCCATGATTTCTGATCAATGGGTTGAATGGGACTTACAGGATCTCCTAGTGGGATGTACGTGCTCAAGTCCCACACCAAGGGCCTGCACCCAGTATCAGCTGAAGTACCATCAAGTACTCCTGGGACACATGGTGGTTTAGAGGTCATCACTACAGAGGACAGGCTCCCTGCTTGTCTCCCAGCTTGCAGACCTGGATCCCCATGGCATTTTGCTGGGCTTTTAGGATGAGCTCCATGCCCAGCATCACATCCCATGCCTGTGCATTTTTCCACTGCTTCCACCCCAGCAGCTCTGTGCAGTGTTAGAGCTGGTTAATGGGTTCAGCTGAAGAGTTTGATATTTAACCTGGATCCACAGCCAGGCGGAGGCAGGAGAGGTGACCCAACAAGGTCTTGCTCTATTTCAGCCAGGAAAATCATGTCCTGTTCTTTAGGCAGGAAAAAACTTGGCCACAGGCATATTGCATCTTGTTGTGCACTGGAGGCATCTGCTCCTCACCCAGGCTTGTGTCACCTCATCTAACCCCTGCAATGACAGGCTAAAAACTGGCACAAGCACACTGGCACAGCATCATATCGATGCACTTAACCGCCCTGTCAGCAGTTTTAAAGGGTGACCCACATGGTTCTTGTAACTTAAAAACAACTCGCCTTGTGCTTGGGATTGGGCTTGCTCCATCTCACCCAACAACAGCTTTGGGTTTGTGCCTGCCCGCATGTGCGACTGCACATCCCCATCATAACTGGTTTAATCAATCTGAGCAAACGAGCACAAAACCATCGAGCCGCACTGACTTTATGTCACTGCCAGATTTTGCACTCAGCTTGGGAAGTGGGAGCCATGGAGATAAAATACAGCTCGTTTTGTTGATGCCAGCAAGATTTAAAATTCAGGACAAATTAATTGCATATGTATTTTTTGATTGGTGAAGGCAATTTTGTGAAGCATTTGTTAAAGATGTCACTTAAAGAGGAATTTCCTAACTGCAGAGGTTAATAACTTTAAAACTGCTACTCAGGCTTCCTGAAAATGGGGCTTTGTGCTGCAAATCTCTTTGAGGCTCATAATTCAATCCTATTTAGAAGCAAATTTCTTAGATTTAGAGCAATGAATATTTAAATGCTACCAGTTGAAACATTTTCAATTTTGAGATCATTTCAAAGCCAGGAGAGTTTATAACATTCGGCTACTCCGAAATGATTTAGCATCTGAATTGATCTGAATCTTAAGCAGCTTAAACAGCTATAAAGGTTTAGAGTAGTTTAAAGGGTTAGGGTAGTTTAAGCAGAATATCATGTTTTCAGAGCTTTGGTTGAAGAAATGGGAGTTCACAGGCTGTCAAGCAGAGCAGCTCTAGATGAAGGACCTGACAAGCATTGCTAGAAAAACTCTCTGAAGCACTCATCATGTTCTCGGCTTTCAAACCTTGTCTGCTTTACTTTTTTCTAAGAAAAAGGAAATGAAACAAGCAGTTTTGAACGTTCACACAAAATGCAGAATATAGGCAAAATGTTTTGGAAGTGCTGTGAACATGGGCTTGCTCTGACAGCAGGCTCCTTGTATTTGACACTTTTTTTCTTCAGTACAAACCACTTCAAAACAGCAACACT